CTAGCTTGAGGGTGACACGAGCAAGTCGACTCGGTAGACTCCCACCTGCTGTTCAGCTAGCAACTGCCACTGCTGCTGCTGCCGCTGTTGCTGCTGCTGCTGCTGCTGCTGCTGCTGCTGCTGCTGCTGCTGCTGGGCTAGAGCTGCAGCCAGAGCAGCAGCAACCCCCTTGTGCATTTCAGAAGTTCCTTCATCGGCGGCGCTCAAGTCGCACACGTCATTTTGCTGCTGCTGCAGCAGCTGCTGCTGCAGCAGCAGCTGCTGCTGTTGCTGCTGCTGCTGCTGCTGCTGCAGAAACGGTGCTGCAGAGGGGCTGCTGAGGCTGCCAGCAAATTGAGCAATCTGCAGCAGCAACTGCAGCAGCTGCAGCGGGGCAGCAGCAGCAGCACCTGCTGCTGCTGCTGTTGCTGCATGTGCATGCCAGCAGCAAGCAGCACCCACCAGCAGCTGCCTTGCTGCTGCAGCTTTGCTGCTGTCTGATACTGCAGAGCGCACGTGCTGCTGCTGCTGCTGCAGCAGCAATAAGATAAGTGTCAGGAACCGCACATCTGCTGCTGCTGCTGCTGCTGCTGCTGCTGCTGCTGCTGCGCCTACTGGTGCGTGGATACGGGCAGCGCCCCAAGACAGCAGCAGCAGCGCGAGGCTTTGCAAACTGGCGCAGCCGTATTGCTGCTGCTGCTGCTGCTGCTGCCGTAGCTGCTGCTGTTGATGTTGCTGCAGCAGCAGCAGCTGCTGCTGCAGCAGCAAAGCAACGTGGGATGAGAGAAGCAACAATAGAGAAGTGGGTTGTTTGCTGCTGACAGACAAACGAGTCAGAGCAGCAGCAGCAACAGACGCGTGCTCCAGTGCTGCTGCTGTCCTTGCTGCTGCTGCTGCTGCTGCTGCTGCATTTTTTGCTGCTGCTGCTGCTGCTGCTAGCTCCGCATCCACGCCTGCTGCGATGGCCCGGCAAATCCCCAGTACATACCTGAGACGAAAACGAACTCCAAACCCTAAACCCTAAACCCTAAACCCTAAACCCTAAACCCTAAACCCTTAGACCTAAACTGTGAGGCCCCTCACCTGTCTTCTAAAGGCTGCAGAGACTTTGCTGCTGCACTTAAAGCAGCAGCAGCTGCTGACAGCGACGGCGGTTTGCTGCTGTGGAAAGAAACCCTCCAGGCCCTGCACACAAACCCTAAACCCTAAACCCTAACCTGCACACAAACCCTAAACCCTAAACGCTAACCTGCACACAAACCCTAAACCCTGAACCCTAACCCCCAAGTCCTAAACCCTAAACCCTGAACCCTAACTCCTAAACCCTAAACCCTAAACCCTAAATCTGTAAAACTGTGAGCCTGAACTGGCAGCCCTGAGGTCTCTCTAGATTCTTTTCTACGCGTTTTGCCATGCAGCTGCCCCCAAGGGTTTAGGGTTTAGGGTTTAGGGTTTAGGGTTTAGGGTTTAGGGTTTACCAGTCAGTCACATCGGGGGCAGTAAGCTGCAGCTTCAGGCTGCCCTGGAGAAACCGACAGGCAGATTCTGCGTCCCACTTTGCTGCTGCTGCTGCTGCTGCTGCTGCTGCTGCTGTTGTTGCTGAAGCTGCTGCTGCTGCTGCGTTTCGTGGGTCTGAAGGAGTGCCAGCAGCAACACGAGGTGCTGCTGCTGCTGCTGCTGCTGCTGCTGCTGCTGCTGCTGCTATAGCGTGCGCCAGCCGAACACCCTCTTGCTGCCAGACCTTGTTGCTTTCAGTTGCTGCTGCAGCAGCTAGGCTGCTGCTGCTGTTGCTGCTGCTGCTGTTGCTGCTGCTGCTGCTGCTGCTGCATGCAAAGGTAGCTACCGCACAAAGGAGCTTGGTCATTTCTTGCGGGGAGTATGCTTTTGCTGCTGCTGCTTCGGCTGCGTCCCGTGGCTGCAGCTGCTGCTGCTGCAGCAGCAGCAGCAGCTGCTCACACAAAGCCTTAAAGGCCCCGGGGCTGCAGCAGCCTGCACTTGCTGCTGCTCCAAGAAAGCCGCAGATTTGCTGCGCAGCAAAACCAGGTAGCGGCCCTGCTGCTGCTGCTGCTGCTGCTGCTGCTGCTGCTGCTGCTGCTGCGCGGGCCTCGACCTCACCGCAGAGGCGCAGCAGCAGCTGCTGCACCTCCTGCAGCGGGAGGCAGCAGCTGCTGCTGGTGTACGCCAGAGCAGCAGCAGCAAAGCAGGGCGGCTTGAAGCGGGGCAGCAGCAGCAGCAGCAGCGGAGCAGCAGCAGCAAATAACAAAGGCGCTGGCTGCTGCAGCTTTGCAAATGCATGCAGCACAAGTGTCAGCCCCTGCGAGGTGTATGTACACCCCAACTCCCTCACGTGCCACTCCACTGCAGCCAGCTGCAGCAGCAGCAGCAGCAAAAGCTGCTGCTGCTGCTGCTGCTGCTGCTGCTGCTGCTGCTGCTGCAGCTGGATGGAGCTTTGCAGCTGCGCCAGGGAGGCCCATATGTTCGCTGCGCTGCGGCCGTCGAGCGCAGGCTGCATCTGCTGCCTCTGCTGCTGCTGCTGCTGCTGCTGCTGCTGCTGGATTAGCAGCTGCTGCTGCAGCAGCTGCTGCAGGCGGCACAGCAGGTGCTGCAGCAGCAGCTCGGAGTGTATCTGCAGCTTTGAAAGGGCCGAGAATATCATAGACAAGTCACAGCCGCTGCTGGCAGCAATTACAGCAGGCCACACACAACTGCTGCTGCTGCTGCTGCTGCTGCTGCAGCTGCTGCTGCTGCTGCTGCTGTTTTGAAGAATCCTTATAAAGGCTAGAGCTGTTTCGCGCATGCGGAGATTCCCCAGCGCATTCAAGTAAACAGACACGTGCCGCGGCTGCAGCCCTGCTGCTGCTGCTGCTGCTGCTGCTGCTGCTGCTGCTGCTGCTGCCGGTGGTCTTGCTCGTGTTGCTGTTTGCCCCATTGCTGCTGCGGCTGCTCTTGATTTTGCTGCTGCTGCTGCTGCTGCTGCTGTCCTGTCCCGGCAGCTGGAGTCCTTAGGCCAAGTGGCAGCAGCAGAGGGAGGAAGACCTGCTGCCGCAGCAGCAGCAGCAGCAGTAGCAGCAGCAGCGGCTGCTGCTGCTGCTGCTGCAGCAAACCTGTCATTGATGGCAGCGAAGAGTCGGCGGTGGGGAACAGCAGCAGCAGCAAAAGCGTTCGCGATGGTGCTGCAGTGCTCAGGCTGCAGCTGCGGCAGGAGACAACTGCTGCTGCTGCTGCTGCTGCTGCTGCTGCTGCTGCTGCTGCTGCTGCTGCTGCTGCTGCTGTTGGTTCTGTCGCTGCTGTTGCCGTAGCGCTCTGAGCTTTGCAGCAGCAAATGCTGCTGCTGCTGTTGCTGCAAATAGCTTAGCTCTCCGAATTTGCTGCCTTGTTTCCCTCCACAAGCAGCAGCAACAGCTCTTGCAGCAGCAGCAGCATGCTGCTGCTGCTGCTGCTGCTGCTGCAAGAGCGCCTCTGCAGCAGCAGACCAAAACTGCTGCGGCAGCCGCCGCTGCTGCCGCGCCAGCTGCTGTAGAGACACCCCAATTTGATGCGGCGGCAGCAAGTGAAGGGCTCGCAGCAGCTGCCGCGGCTGCAGCAGAGCAGCAGCAGCAGCAGCAGCAGCAGCAGCGGGAGCAGCAGCAGCAGCGGGAGCAGCTGCAGCAGAGCAGCAGCAGCAGCAGCAGCAGCAGCAGCGGGAGCAGCAGCAGCAGCGGGAGCAGCAGCAGCAGCAGCAGCAGCAGCAGCAGCAGGAGCAACAGCAGACGAATCCTGCCTGCGGGATAGCGTCAAGCTTCTGACGCGACCAGGCGGATGTTTGCCGCTGCTGCTGCTGCTGCTGATGCTGCTGCTGCTGCTGCTGCTACTGGTACTGCTGCTGCTGCTGCTGCTGCTGCTGCTGCTAAAGAGACGGGTTGTGCAGGAAAAAACGTTTCGCCTGAAATTGAGGCCATGGGCAAGCATCGGGTCCTAAACCCTAAACCCTAAACCCTAAACCCTTGCTTGTGGGCTGGTACGGGCGCATGTCAGCGACTGAGCTAGGGTTTGGAGACTAGGGTTTAGGGTTTAGGGTTTAGGGTGTAGGGCTTAGCGTGCTTTCAACACTCCTCTTCCCCTAACCAGATTAATGAAATGCCCAGGAAACAAGGAAATTTGCCCAGTATAATGGTTTAGGGTTTAGGGTTTAGGGTTTAGGGTTTAGGATGTCGCGGGTAGGGTTTAGGATTAGGGTTTAGGGTTTAGGGTTTAGGGTTTGTCGCGCATGCACGGCTGGGGATCTAGGCCACTTAAAGAATATTTTAATCACTAAATAAAAGAAAATAGCTGTAAAAATCTAAAAAAAGCGAAGCGTAAACCCTAAACCCTAAACCCTAGACCCTAAGCCCTAAACCCTAAACCCTAAACCCTAAACCCTAAACGGGCGGCGCCGACGGGCTGTCTGCCGCCGCGCTTATTGTCGAGGTCACTTTCGAGGGTTTTGTCTTTCACCTTTTATGAATTTATTTTTTGTTAAATTGAATCAAAAGCTGAAATTGCTTAAACCCTAAACCCTAAACCCTAAACCCTAAACCCTCGAAAAAGCGGCACAGATCCCCTTGCGGTCTCGCCGATCCCCCGCCGCTCCACTACTGCGGCTGCTCCGGCTCCCTAGGGTTTAGGGTTTAGGGTTTAGTGTTTAGGGTTTAGGGTTTAGGGTTTGGGGTTAATTGTTTGTTGTCTAGAGCTCTTTGCATCCCCTCTCCCGCCGATCTCACCCTAAACCCTTTCTTGGGGGTTTAGGGTTTAGGGTTTAGGGTTTAGGGTTTGGGGTTGAGTGTGCATGTTTATTTTGTTTTCTTTTTCCGGCATTTCAGGGTTTTACGACTCTTTAGGGTCTATATCTTTATTAGGGTTTATGAATTCTAGGGTTTACGGTAGGGTTTAGGGTTTAGGGTTTAGGGTTTAGAAATTAGGGTTTGGACCTCAGGCGCGTTTTTGTCTCTGCTGCAGCTACTACTGCTGCTGCTGCAGTTACTGCTGCCGCTGCTGCAGCAGCTGTCACGGCTGTTGCAGCTGCTGCTGCAGCTGCTGCTGCAGCTGCTGCTGCTGCTGCTGCAGCAGCTGCTGCTGCTGCAGCTGCTGCTGCGAGGGATCTCGAACAGCAGCAAAGAGGTGGAAATAAAATAAATAAAATAAATAAAATAAATAAAATAAATAAAATAAATAAAATAAATAAAATAAATAAAATAATAAAACAATTAAAATAAAACAAAAAAGAATATAAAATAAAAAAAGAAAAAAAAAGAATCAAAAAAAGAAAGAAGAGCAAAACAAGTGCAGCAAAGACAAAAGCGAAAAACAAAGAAAAGAATTAGAAAAAAAAACAAAATAAATAAATAAATAAATAAATAAATAAATAAATAAATAAATAAATAAATAAATAAATAAATAAATAACAATATAAGTGAATAAATAAACAAATAAAAGAGTTAAAAGAAAAGAGTGAAAAGAAAGAACGAAAGAAGCGAACCCCCAACCCCAAACCCTAAACCCTAAACCCTAAACCCTAATAACATCGTGCGCGTATCAGGGCGTTGTGTGGTGTCCGTCTTTGCGCGCGTTGCTTACCCCGCGTCTCCCCGCGTCTAGGGTTTAGGGTTTAGGGTTTAGGGTTTAGGGTTTAGGGTTTAGGGTTTAGGGTTTAGGGTTTAGGATGGGGGAAAGCGGAGAAAAGGAGGGTTTGCGCAGCAGCAACTTGCTGTCGTTCGAAACCCCGGGGGTTTTGAAAACCGCGCATCAGGAAAAGAGCTTCGCTTTGTTCAACTCTTTGGGGGTTTTTGATCGGCGGAGCTTCGAGGGTTTTGCGGCTGCTGCACTTGCTGCTGTTCGTGCTGCTGCTGCTGCTGGCAGCAACTTACGCCACTCTCTTCGTTTCTTTTTCCATTCACAAAAATAATGTTTCTTTAGCTGAAGAAGAAGTTTATGACGAGCTTTTGGGGGCCAAAAACCTCTCTGTTACTCTCCAGAGAATCCAAACCCTCGCCAGCAGCAGCAGCGAGAAGCAGCAAAAGCTGCTGCTCTCCAACAGTTTGCTGCTGCCGGCTTTTCACAAGCAAACTGCTGCTGCGCTCTTCCATATCAACAGCAGAATCATTCTCGCTCTCGAACACCTCAGGAGCTACGATCAGGTCCTCCTGCTGCTGCTGCTGCTGCTGCTGCTGCTGCTGCTGCTGCTCGTTATGCTGCTGCTGCTGGTTATGCTGGTTATGCTGCTGCTGCTGCATGGGCCACACACCTGCTGCTGCTGCTGCTGCGCTCTTCCATATCAACAGCAGAATCATACTCGCACTCGAACACCTCAGGAGCTATGATCAGGTCCTCCTGCTGCTGCTGCTGCTGCTGCTGCTGCTGCTGCTGCTGCTCGTTATGCTGCTGCTGCTGCTCATTTTCCCGGTGGTGCTGCTGCTGCTGGTTATGCTGCTGCTGCTCATTATCCCGGTGCTGCTGCTGCTGCGGGCTATGCTGCTGCTCATTATCCCGGTGCTGCTGCTGCTGCTGGTTATGCTGCTGCTGCTGCTGCTGCTGCTGCTGCTCATTATCCCGGTGCTGCTGCTGCTGCTGGTTATGCTGCTGCTGCTGCTGCTGCTGCTCATTTTCCCGGTGCTGCTGCTGCTGGTTATGCTGCTGCTGCTGCTGCTGCTCATTATCCCGGTGCTGCTGCTGCTGCTGGCTATGCTGCTGCTCATTATCCCCGTGCTGCTGCTGCTGCTGCTGCTCATTATCCCGGTGCTGCTGCTGCTGCTGGTTATGCTGCTGCTGCTGCTGCTGCATGTGCCACACACCTGCTGCTGCTGCTGCTGCACTCTTTCACATCAACAGCAGAATCATATTTGCACTCGAACACTTCAGGAGCTGCGATCAAGTCCTGCTGCTGCTGCTGCTGCTGCTGCTGCTGCTGCTGCTGATTATGCTGCTGCTGCTGCGTGTGTCACACGCCTGCTGCTGCTGCTGTTGCACTCTTTCACATCAACAGCAGAATTGTACTAGCGCTTGAACACCTCAGAAGCTACAATCAGATCCTGCTGCTGCTGCTGATTCTGATCATTATGATTCTGCTGCTGCTGCTGCTGCTGCTGCTGCGTGTGTCACACCTGCTGCTGCTGCTGCTGCTGCTGCTGCTCCGCTCTTTCATATCAACGGTAGAATCCTACTTGCACTCGAACACCTCAGGAGCTGCGAACACGTTCTGCTGCTGCTGCTGCCAATCACCCTGCTGCTGCTGCTGCTGCTGCTGCTGCTGCTGCTGCTGCGTGCCCCACGCTGTGCTGCTGCTGCTGCTGCTGCTGCTGCTGCTGCTGGTGCTGCAGAGCATCCGCACGGCGATGAGCTGTCTGTACAGTTCGTCGCGGCAGCCGCAGACGGAGTGTCCTCTTGCTGCAGTTGCGGAGCATTTGCTGCTGGTGGGGGAGCAGCAGCAGCAGCAGCTGCTGCAGGCTCTGAAGAGCAGCAAACTGCCACTTTCGGAAGCCCTTGATGCTAATATACTTTCCTTCTATCCTGCTGCTTGGGGCGATGTTGCTGCTCCTGCTGCTTTCGTGCTGCAGCTGGCCAGCGAGGGGCGGTTTGCTGCAGTCAGCGAACTCAGCAGCAAATATGCTGCTGAACTCGAAGCAATTATTAATTCTCTCCGAACTATTATTCTCTGGCCCCCTCTTGTCTGCACTCCTGCGGTCTTTGGCGCTGCTGCTGTGCTCCTTTTGCTGCTCTTCGCCACCCTCATTGCCGTCAAATCCAGTAGGGTTTAGGGTTTAGGGTTTAGGGTTTAGGGTTTAGGGTTTAGGGTTTGGGGGCTGGGGGTTGGGGGTTGGG